TTTTTTAGTTGTTGATGAACTTTTATTTTATTTATTTGTATGTGGTGGTAAGAATCAAACCTAGTGCCTTACTCTTGCCAGGCAACCACTCTTCCACTGAGCTACAATCCCAGCCTGAATAATTTTATTTTCAATGTTAAAATATGGGTTGGGGATATAGCTCCATTGGTAAAGTGCTTCCCTTGCATGCATAAGGCCCTGGGTTCAATCCCCAGCACCTCCCACCCCCCCACCCCCGCCCTCCCCACAAAAATCTCCTTAAGGTCCTAAGGATGTGGTTCAGTGGTAGGGCATTTGCCTAGCATGAGTGAGGTTCTGGGTTTGATCAACCAGCACCATTATAAAAAATAAAAATCTTAAGAAATACTTGTGGGAAGCTATTCTCGCACGTGATTGGGCACCTCCCTGACTGGGTGTGAGGCCTTCCAGCCAAGCTGTGTCAGAACTAATCCCCATCCTTATTAGATACAACAGCCCATCCGTGTGGAGGTGTGACTGACCATTGACCCTGAGACCAATCACTGACCCTGACCTTGGAATGCTGTCTCCCTCCACCTTCATTGGATGGAATTTTCCCCTGATTTTCTTGTTCCCCAATAAAAGGCCACTCCCTGGCTTGCCTTTCCTCTCTCCTGCTACTCACCAGGTGGCTCCAGGTAGGAGCCAGAGGGGGCTGACTCTGACCTGGTCAAGAAAAAGGTAAATTGAGTTTATGTGTGTTTATTTTGATCTCACTAGTTAACTTCTATGCTTAGGACCTCTAGTGTGAAGCTAGCGTGCTGGTYGCGCGGCAGAATTACTTTACCTCAAAATAAGAGAAATAGTGACTAAGACCATTGGTATAACAACAACAGCAAAAGACTGGGCTGGTTACCCATTTCCTCAAACTTTTGTAAATAAGTTCTCATCACAGGCAACCCCCTGCAAAAGTGTCAGGTTGTGGACTGGGGCTGGGGCTCAGTGGCAGCGCACTTGCCTGGTATGTGTGAGGCACTGGGTTCAATTCTCAGCACCACATATGAACAAATAAAGGTCTATCAACAACATACATACATACATACATACATACATAAATAAATAAAACGTCAGGTTGTCCACCCCTGTATGTGTGAATATTGCCCTTATGGAAGGGTTATTGGAAGATGCAGTAGCTAAAATACCAGTATATTCTAAAACATGGTAATAAAATCTGAATATAGTGTTTATGCACCTTAACTCTAGAATGGAGTTAATCGTTATACATCCTCAGGTAGATGCTTGGGAAGCTAGAGCGTGGGTATGGGACCTCATTTCAGTCTGCAATCATGAATCAAGATGAATCCTTCTGGGGAGAGTGATGTTCTCTCTCAGAAGACAATGTAACAGCATGGTAAAATAATCATGATGTGATATTAAGTTTAAGATGTAGGATATAAGATTACACAGAGATTGTGTGCTTCAGTTACATGGTTTTTGTTTTTTGAGGCTGGGTTTCCTCTGTTGCCCAGGCTGGCCTTTAATTCCTGGGCTCAAGCACAGTCCTTCTGCCCCAACCTTCCCAGTAGAGGGGACAAGAGGCATGCACTACCATGCCAGCTAAAAGCAGAGATTTCACTTTTCTCCTTTCTATTGAAAAGGAACTGTATCATAATCAAAGGAAGGTAGGACCAACCATTCCTAAGATCTCCAGCACATACAAGAAATTGTTTCAGCCCAGGTGGTTTAATTCTTGCATAGGATGGATTAGAAACCCCATGGCTGCAGGTTGTACATCTGTCTGGTCCCAGTTTAGTTTTCCAACCATATAAACTCAGCTTGTTATGGCAGACATTGGTGTCATAGATCTATCTAGAGATAATCTGGAAGGGGAAGATTAATTCCCCATAGGCCATTCCCCAAGGGCTATGCAGGAGTAGAGGAAAACACATGTTCAAATTGACCTCTAAACCAAGCCTAACAGTGTTAAGTGGCAGCTCAGGGGACAAGCCAGGGGCTAGTTCATTTATATGAATGAAGTTTCCAAACTGGATTCCAGTTGTATTAACAATCAACCTTTATATATAATTACAATAGTTATGGAGATTTTTTTAAATTTTTTTTTAATTTTTTTTTAGTTGTAGATGAACACAATACCTTTGCTTTATTTATTTTTATGTGGTGCTGAGGATAGAACCAAGTGCCTCATGCATGCGAGGCAAGTGCTCTACCACTGAGCTACAACCCCAACCCCTAGTTATGGAGAAATCCTCTCTCTCTGCTGTGGGCCACCTCACAGTGGTCTCCCAGCCTGCTGTACCCATAAACAAATTGGATGAGATTTAGAGATGAAGAACAAGGAGATCTGCAACTTGATAAAGTCATATTTTGTTTTTCAATGAACTTCCACTGTTCTAATCTAAATGATTTAATATTTTTCTTTTCTGCTACTGGGGATTGAACCCAAGGGTACTTTACCACCGAGCTATATCCCAGCCCTTTTTATTTTGAGGCTCACTAAGTTGCTGAGGCTGGTCTCGAATTTGCAATCTTCCTGACTCAGGGCTCCCAAGTAACTGAGATTACAAGTGTGTGCCACCCAAATGCTTTTAAAAAGAACATTATCACTTTAATTTCACAAGGGGTATGTGTGTGTGTGCACACACACACATAGGTTGCACTTTGACAGGTTTCCTGTCATACCCGTTATCAACAAAGGGCCTTACTGCAATTGGTTGCCCCACATCTGGGAAAATGAGGCCTTCATTCTTCTCAGTTTAGTGAAAATTCATAAAAAACTATGGAGAAAGACAAAAATTCTGATTGGACTCAATCTTTTTTCTTTAGAGTTCTTTAAAATAATATTAAATTGTTAGTCTACATTTATCACACTGTAACAAATCACTTCATGCATACTCTGGTGTTACAGTTAGGTGCAGCATGTCTTTGTCCTCTACAAAATTAATGAGGAACCATTGGATTCATAATAAAAACTAACTAAAATTTCCTAATTTCTAACATCTGTGGATGACCTCCTTCCTTTCTTTCTCACTTAATAATCTATATACACAAGAAACCACTACTGGACTCTCGGACTTTATTGTTTTTTGTTTGTTTGTTTTTCCCTATTTGTCTTCCATAATTCAGGCATACTAACGCCCAGGGGTTAAAACATATATATATATATATATATATATATATATATATATATATGAATGAAACTCTAATACACACCACAGATTTCTTTTCCGACATACAAACCTAGTTTTCTTCTCCAAAACAGTCAAGAGAGAAAACCTCAGGGCTGCATCTAGATTTCTGCAAACCACTAGATTGATTGCCTATCTGGTATTACTCATGTTTTGAAGTAAATCAGGGAAGGAATAAATAACGAGGCAAACTTTAGACAAGAATCTGAAGGCTTGGTCATAAATGAAATCCTGGACTCACTTTACTATATGGTCATTCCAGGAGGATCCCCTAACCCTATGCCCAGGAAAGACATGCACTTTTCTTCTTTTTTTGTACAGGGGATTAAACCCAGGGGTGCTTAACCACTGAGCCACATCCCCAGCGCCCCTCCTATTAAAAAACTTTTGAGACAGGGCCTCTCTAAATTGCCCAGAGCCTCGCTAAAATGCTGAGGCTAGCTTTGAACTTGTGATCCTCCTGCCTCAGCCTCCCCAGCCACTGGGATTACAGGTGTGTCATCACACCCAGTTGCAAACTTTACATGTGGGAAAACTCTTAAGAGAAACCAAGAAGCCCRTGACCAGGTTGCAGACTCGGGAGCCCGACTCTCTCCTTCCAACAACAGACTGGCTCATGTTCGTCCCCTTTGGTTCCCGCTTCTCTAGGACTCGGCGGGCAGGGCACCACTGCACCCCTAAGGCCACGTGTTCTTCCTGCCACGCCAGGCGGGAAGCCCAGCCCGCACAGCCCACCGCTCCCAGGCCCCGCCCCCCCACGCCCACTGCGCTGCTAGCCAATCGCACCCTGATACGCTGCAAGGCCCCGCCCCCCTTGAGCTCCGCCGGCCGCTTTTGTTCTACCCTGCTGGGTCTCTCCGCCTGTGCGCTCCGCGCAAACCGAGTGGCAGCCTTTGATTGGTGGCCGCCGCGCAGCCAATCAGAAGGGGGCACCTCACGTTAGGGCTCGGAGTTTTAAACGCGCTTCCAGGGGCGCGCCGGCGCGGCCTGAGCCTGGGCGGGGGAGAAGGTAGGACGCAGCGAGGCGCCCTGCCTGCGCGTCCGGCGGCGCGCGGGGATTGGCCTACCGACGGCTTCCCCGCCCCCGGTCATTTGCCTGGGAGGACTTCCTGGAGTGTTTTCTGCGCTCCTCTGTCGTTGGGCTAGTCTGGGAGTGCTCCGCGGCTGCCGGCGCCTGGAGGCCGCGCTCCGCTGCTGCCGCCATGAGGCTCCGAAAAGCCTGCCTGCTCGTCTTGCTCCTGGCGCTGGCGCAGCTGCTGGCCGCGGCCAGCGCCGAGGGAACGGACGAAGGTGAGCGGCGGCCTGGCTGGGGAGGGCGTCGTGCGCCCGCGAGGCTGGAAGCCGTGGGAGCCCGGGTTGTGAGACCTGGTGGCCCGCCGGGCTTCGCGCAGGTTCCTGCAGATCTAGGGACGGCCGTCGCTCGCGGTGCGGACTTGCTGGGCTTTCAGGGCAAGGAAAGGGGTGCTGGACGGCTTTGGGGATCTCTTAGTGGAGACGACCAAGAGGCCGAGGCTCAGGGCCCACGAGCTCCGACTCGCTGGAAGTCCCTGCCACCCGAGTCTGGGACGCAGAACGGGGTACAGACAGGCTTCTTTGCAAGGCTCCTTCGTTTTCATTCTCAGATTTTCTTAGGTCCAAGCTGATTGTCTTCTGCCCTGAAAGGAGGATCGTGGAACTTATTAAAACTTCCAGACGCACACGCCCAGAGATTGTGAGGGAAGAAGGGGGTCCACAGTGTCCAAACAGGTTTTAGAGAAGATGCGAGGGCGGGAGGACGCTCGTGGGAGCTCGCAGGGGCAGCCGCGGGCAGCAGGCATCTTCTTTAAAAATGTTCTCTGTAGATTTGGAAATAATTAATGCACGGGTTCTGGTTTGAAGGTGAAAGGGAGGTTTGCGTCTTCCGTATAAGGAGGAGACCTCATCTCTCTTCTCAGCATTTATTCAGCACCCAGTATGTGCCGGTCTGTGGTGGAGGAGTCAAGCCTGGGTTGTGTGGTCCCCACCCTGGAAACCCGCACTCTGCTAGGGACAGAGTACAGAGCCTCATCATGTTCCTGCATTTTTCTTTGAAATCAGCTACCTGCAAACATAAGAGAACTTTAAAAATTAAGAAGTACTCGTTACAATTCCTAGAGAGCTGGGCATTTAGTATTGGTCTTAACCCTCTTCCTTTGTGTCCTTTTTCCTTACCACTAGCTTTTTACCTGCTAAGTTTATTCCAATATAAATAACCCCGCTTTTCCAATATTAGTGTGTTGGGGAAACGTGAACTTTAGACTTTTTCAAATAAATTGAGTAACTTCTGTGTGGGTCAGATTCAAAAGTCTTTGCCCAGTAGAAAAGGAAGTAAAACCCAGACTCAGTGGAAAAAAAACACCTGCTGAAAAGAACCAGGAATCAGTACTGCCTACAGGTGTGTCTTGGCAACTTTATCCAAATCACTTGGGTGCTTATTTAAATACATAGTGGGGTTAGGCCCTTGAGTCTGTATTTTAAACAAGTTTTTCACTTTTCATAGGCAGAGTAAATTTTGCATTTGGATACTTTTGGGAACCTAGCTGGAAAGTACAGTAGCATTGTCTATATTTCGATCCACTGATTTTGGGGGGATTCTTGAGAGGCCCAGGAGAGTGGCACACTTGGGTGGACTTCAAGGACTTTGGGGACCATCAAGTTTATACTGTGGGTTGTAAATCACTAGTGCTGTATTGTCCCTGGGAAGTAGTTGCTTCTGGGGTGAGCCAGGGTATCTCTGGGATATCCTGATCAAGGGCATATCCTTCTGGCTTTCTCCTTGATTCCCTCTTATCCTTGAGGGCATCACTAGCCCTTAATTTTCATAGCCTTTCACATATGACTTGGTCAACAGATTTATGGTCTGTACTACCTCCAATGTTCCAACTGACAGAATCTCACTAAATTTGCTGAGGCTGGCCTTGAATTTGTGATCCTCCTGTCCCAGCCTTCCAGATCACTGCAATTATAGCCATGCAACACTATGCCAGGCTCGAAATCTTTAGGCCTTTCTTTGTTTTCTCTCACATTTTAGATTCATCAGCACAGTGATATCTGGGCCCCTAAATGTCCCATCCCCCAGTGTGGTTGCTAAATAGACTTAAGCCATCTGGTCTAAGCCTCAGGTGCCAGGGCTTTCCATGTTTTGGATTAGAAGTTGCCTGCACTCTTCCAGCTAAAATAATGGTGCATGCCTGTAATCACAACGACTCGGGAGGCTGAGTTGGAGGATTAAAAGTTTGAGGCAAACCTCAGCAATTTAGCAAGACTGTCCCAAAATGAGGAATAAAAAGAACTAAGGATGTATGTAGTTCAGTGGTGTTATGGTTTGGATGTGAGGTGTCTCCCAAGAGCTCAAGTGTGAGACAATGCAAGAAGGTTCAGAGGAGAAATGATTGGGTTGTAAGAATCTGAACCCAGTAACTCAGTGACTTAATCCCCTGATAGGGATTAGCTGAGAGGTAACTTGGAGGTGAGTAGGGTGTGGCTGTGGGGTATTTGTTTGTATCTGGGGAGTGGATTTTCTCTCTGCTTCCTGATCACCTTGATGTGAGCTGCTTCCCTCTGCCACACTCTCCATTATGTCCTGCTTCACCTTCAGCCCTGAGGAATGGAGCTGTCCTGTGGATTGAGACCTCTAAAACCGTGACCCCACAAAAAAGTGGAAGACCAGAATGGTCTCACCTTAAACTTTGTGTATTGGGAAGAAACTTTTAAAGAGTTTGGCACAGTGCCTGGCACATAGTTAATATCAGTGATAATGATTTGATCCCTATTCCGATAACAACTTTGTCCTTTTCTTGTTCACCATAAACCGTTAAGTGTTGGCTTAATGGTCGTTTGTGCAGCTATTACAGGTGTGCCCCTGGTGGAAACTGGAATTGGCCAGCTGAGGAGGTATAGTGAGGGCATCTTTGTGGTTGCTGCCTGCATCTGGGCTGGACAGAGGAGGGGTGCAAAGTTGTCCTCAGGTGTGTTTGGTAGGAGTCAAAGGGGATTTCAGCCACCTGGTTGGATCCCCCTGTTTCAAGAGTGGCTTTCTCCTGTAGAGTGAGCGAGGTAGAGATGAATGTAGGAGGCTTCATTTACCTCATGCTAGGAGACTACTTCAGGTGGTGCTGGAATGTTTCAATGGGTGTTCTATCTTAGAATGCCCAAATTTAAAAGTGAAGTCCAGTGAAAAGTAGTGTCCCCATTAGGATATGATGTGTCTAGCTTGCAGGGATATGTAGATTTCTAGTAGACAGGTGTTTTAGTCAGCTTATTTGTTGCTGTAACTAAAAGACCCCATAAGAACAATTTTAGAAGAAGAAAAGTTTATTTGGGGGCTCACTGTTTCAGAGGTCTCAGGCCATAGACAGCAGGCTCCATTCCTCGGGGCTGGAGGTGAGGCAGAACATCATGGAGGAAGAGGATGGCAAAGGAAAGCAGTTCACATGATGATCAGGAAACAGAGGTTTCACTCACCAGATATGTACACAAGATATGCTGGACCCTGTGACCTCCCTCTTCCAGCCACACCCTACCTGCCTTCAGTTAACCACTTAGTTAATTCCATTAGGGGATCAGTTCACTGATTGGGTTAAGACTCACAGCCTCCATACATTGTCTCACATGTGAGCTTTTGGGGGACCCTTCACATCCAAACCATAGCATTCCACCCCTGGCCCCCAAAATCTCATGCCCATCTCACAATGCAGAATAATTTAGTGCCGAGTCTGAAGACTCTCTGAGACTTGGGGCAAACTCACATTATGAGCTCCTGTAAAGATCAAAGAAAGTGTACAAATATCCAATATATAAAGGTACAGAGTAAACATTTCCATTCAGAAAAATAGTACAGATAGAGCCAAARCAAGACTGAAGTCCAGCTGGGCAAACAAGTTCTGTAGTTCCATGTCTGGCATCTGGAGCACATGGCAATGTGATGTTTTCTCCAAAGGGCTTGTGTGGCTCCTCCCCTGTGGATGTACTGGTTGCTGTCCACATCCCTCTCTGTTGGCTTGCTTCTGCTGGATTCCTGCAGCTTTCCTTGGCAGACAGACTACGTTACTGGCATTTCTTAATCTTGGGGTCTCCACTGGAGCTTCAGCTTCTTCCTCACATCTCCACACTTTGACTTCTCAGGGGATGTCCGTAGGGACTCTGACCCTGCTGCACTTTGCCTGGCCTCCCAGGCATTCCTTTGAAATCTTGGTGGAAGCCTCCGTGACCCCCTAACTCTAGTATCCTGCGTTCCTGAAGAACCAGCACCACATGATTGATGCCGAGGTCTGCTGCCATCTGGAGCAGTGGTAAAGACTTCGGGGACACTGGCTGCAGCATCCTCTGGGTGGCTGAGCACATTTAAAAAACTTCCTTGTGGGCTGGGGATGTGGCTCAAGCGGTAGCGCGCTCGCCTGACATGCATGCGGCCCGGGTTCGATCCTCAGCACCACATACCAACAAAGATGTTGTGTCCGCTGAAAACTAAAAAAAATAAATATTTAAAAAAAAATTCTCTCTTTAAAAAAAAAAAAACAAACTTCCTTGCCCCACTTGTGCAAATTTTTACTTAATATTCGCTTAAATCTGAGATGGATGTGGTCTTGCCAATTCCTGAGATGCCCTCAAACCGTCTTATGGTCTCTGGGCAAAGTCTCTAGCATTTCTTTAGTCGCAGTAATGTCTTTATTAACTGCAACTTTCTTAGCCCCAGTTTTACTCCCACCTTTGAAATCCAAGTTTTAAAATTTCTGCTCTGCTTTCTGCTCCTTAATATCATAATAAACTTGGGTAAAAGCCACCAGCAATATCCATGCCACCATTTGAATGCTATGCTGTCTAGAAACTTCTTCCTCCACATTAAGAAGTCTGTTGCTTTTAAAATCGGCCTCACAGAACAAAATGTGGACAACTTCTTAGCCAGAACATAATAGGAATGTCCTCTAGTTCAAGTTCCAATAGAGTCCTTTTCCTCTGAAACCTCATGAACCCACTCTTTACTGTCCACAGTCAGATTGGCATTCTGGTCCTCTGCGGTCCCACCAGAATTGCCCATTAAGATCTACTTACAGGCTGGGGATGTGGCTCAAGTGGTAGCATGCTTGCCTGGCATGCATGCGGCCCGGGTTTGATCCTCAGCACCACATGCAAACAAAGATGGTGTATCCGCCGAAAAAAACCTAAAAAATAAATATTAAAATTCTCTCTCTCTTAAAAAAAGAGTTTGACTAAAATTGAAACAGGGGTTCACTTGATGCTTTGAAACTTACATGTTTAAAGAAAAAAAAAATCACAACCTTCTAAAGCTTTACTAGCTTGCATGGCTAACCTTTCCAAAATTCCTCCCACGAATTACAAAAATCTCCAAAAGCTTCTAAACCACAAGGTCAGGTTATATGACACCACTTTGGGTACCAATTTTTGTTTTAGTCAGCTTTTTTGTTGTTATAACTAAAGGAACCTGTAAGAACAATTTTACAGGAGGAAAAGTATTTGGGGGCTCAGAGTTTCAGAGGTCTTAGTCCATGGACAGTAGGCTCCATTCCTTGGGCTTGAGGTAAGACAAAATATCATGGAGGAAGATTGTGGCGAAGGGAAGCAGCTCACATGTTGACCAGAAAGCAGAAAGAGAGGTCTTCACTTGCAAGATACAAATATATACCCCAAAGCTAAGCCCTCAATGCCCACCTCCTCCAGCTATACCCTACCATTTCAGTTACCACTCATTTAATCTCTTATCAGGGGACTTTTCACTGCTTGGATTAGGTCTCTCACAACTCATTTCTCCTCTAAACCTTCATGCATTGTCTCACACATGAGCTTTTGGGGGACATTTCACATCCAAACCATAACAATGGGATCATAGAGCCAGGGACTGGTGGTGTAGCTCAGTGGTAGAGCACCTGTATGGGACACCCTGGGGTCTCTGTTTCTAGCTCTTTCTCAATTTGCAGAGAAATCAACTCTGGGGTTTTGTGGGAGGAACGGAAAGAAGGTCATGCCTTAATGCAGTGGAGAGTGCTTAATTATGTAGGGAATGTTCTATCACTTTGTTTGTTATCCTTTAAAAGGAAAATACAGTTCATTTTTTGAATGTTAAACAGGTTGCCCCATTTAATCAGGAGCCTCTCATTAGGAGTGCTGAGTCTACTTCAGGCTTTTCTTGCTTTCTTCAGAGCATAGCCAGAAAACACCTTTGCACATCCTTTTTGTAAAATCACCCTGAAAAGATCAGCCTTTGTGGTTGTGTTTCAGGTGCCCTCGCCATACACTTGAATCTTCCCTTCCACCTGTGTGACTGAGCGGACTCTGCAGTTCTGCTTCCTGTCCTCTGAGGCTCCTAGCCTGAGGAGGAGGAAGTTCCCTATTGCCTTCTCTCCAGTCTTCTCTTCTGAAAGCTAGTAAATTCCATTCTGTGACTGGGCTGAGCAGCCAGGCAGTGGGGCTGGGATGGTGCCCACTGGGCAGAGAAGCTCCAGAACATCCCTGCAGATTGGTAGTTTTGTTTGTTTTTTAAACCCAGGGATGCTTTACCACAAGCTCTATCCCTAGTCTGTCTGCCTTTCTTTTAGACAGGGTCTCATCTGCCATCCTCCTGCTCAACTTCCTGAATAGCTGGGATTACACCATGTACCAGCTAGATTATAGATTTTAATAATGATGAAAGCTATACCCCCATTCTCCAGAACATCTGAGTATGCTGGGAAGCGAGGTATTATGGGCCATGTGGGAGCAGCGATTGCATGGCCCCACTGTCCCAGCTGCAGATCCAACACTGGCTTAGCAGAGGCCACAGGTCCCAGGAGTCCCAGTCCCTTGACGGTTTTCAGGCCCTGAGTGCATCCTCAGCCCCAAGTAGCTAGCAGTGTTGATTGAGCTCCTGAGAAGTAACTCCAGAAAAGCACTGGCCTCTAGAAATATTCTGGCCTTGGAGTTAGTGAAATTATTGTGCTTGTTGCACTCAGTTCCATTTGCTGCTATGAAAAGCTGGTCAATTAGAACTGGGGGAACTGGGGCTATAGCTCGGGGGCAGAGCACTTGCCTAGATGTGTAAGGCACTGGGTTCAACCCTTAGCACTGCATAAAAATAAATAAAGGCATGCTGTCCTTCTACAACTACAAAAAAATTGAAAATTAAAAAACAACTGGAGTTTCACAAACACTTGGATCTCTTCTATAGTTTGGCAAAAAATCAAACTTTGCAGATTCTACTCAGTTTCCTGCATTCCAAGAAGAAAACTTTGCTTCTAAGCAGAGGTGTAATTTGTTGTCTGACTGAGGTAAAATGTCGCCCTATTCAGAAACAGAACTAATCCTCCAGAGTGAAAAGTCAAGAAAGAGTCCCTATTTCCCATTTCTACTATTTTGGGGGCCAGGCAGGTTACATCAAGGCCCTGTTGGTGGAAAGCAGAGCAAGGAAGAGGGCTTTGCATTTGGAGGGGGCTCATCCTGCCCCCAAGCCTTTCTGAGGCATTTGCTCTTTAAATAATAATAATAATAAAAGCCTTATTATTATTATTATTATTGGCATCTAAAGTGGCCATATAGTGTGCAGACCCAGAGCAGAATTGCTGGGGTGAGGAGGTTCGGCTGCACAGGACTCGTGACACATTTGGAGGCTTTGGGGTTGTAAGAAAGTTTTGAAAAAAAGAGTCATCAGTTTCTTCACCAGTATTTTCCACTCAGATGCTTCCGAAAGAGAAGATGCTATTGAGGATGAAGAGGAGGAGGAAGATGAGGAGGAGGAAGAAGACTTGGAAGTTAAGGAAGAAAATGGTGTCTTGGTCCTGAATGATGCGAATTTTGATAACTTTGTGGCTGATAAAGACACGGTGCTGCTGGAATTCTACGCGCCATGGTAAGGACCTGCGTTCTGGCTCCCACGACTAGTCAGCCTCAGTGCAGAAGGCCCTCCCCTCAGTGCTGTCCAGACCCTGGGTTCCGTTCTGCCAGTTGGCATTGAGCAGCCTCATGGCAGCCTCAGGGAAGGCAGGCTCTGCGGGGTTCTGGTGGCTGCCCTAAGTTTGGGCTGTTGGCCTGTAGGACTCGTCGTCGTTTATTTTTTAATGTACACAGGCACCCCATTTCCTTTCTCGTCTCCCCTCCTAGTGCTGTACCTGCTGGCTCTCGTCTTCCTTCTGTAAGTCAGTTAGCCTCTGGAAAACCCTACCTTATTCTCAGTGTGTGTCTTCAGGGATTCTGACTTCACAGACCCTCTGAAAGGGATCACTGGCCCAAACGTTGAGACTTTTACAGTTGTCCTTTGGACTCCAAGGGGACTAATCTAGCCTCCACCGTCCCTCACAGACACCAAAATACACAGATGCTCCGGTTCCTTATATGAAGTGGCGTGACTGCGTGTGATTCTGCATGTCCTCTTGTATTTCGGGGTTGTTTTGTGTGTGGTACTGGGGATGGAACCCAGGGCCTCACACATTGCTAACCAAGTGTTCTACCACTGAGCTACACCCGGCCTTTTTTTAATTTTATTTTTGAGAGTCTAAGATGCCTAGGCTGGCCTTCGACCTTTGATCCTGCTTCACCTCTTGAGTAGCTGGGATCACAGGTGTGTACATCATCTGAAGATTATTTACAATACTTACAATATGTAACACAAAATAAGTGCTACATCAGTAGTTGTTCCGCTGCATTGTTCAGGGAATAGTGACAAGAAGACAAGTCTGTGTGTTCAGGGGTTTTTGTTGTTGATCCACAGTTGGCTGAATTCATGGGTGTGCACCATGTGGATGTGGAGGGCTGACTGTAAACAGAAGGGATCATTTGGGTTGAGAGTACTTGCCAAGGCAGAGCTGGAATTCAAACCTAGATCTGCTTGACTTAAAGCCTCTTTTGCCTCCCCATGGTGTTATGTGGAGTCATTCCTCTTAACTGCAGATATTTCCTTAGCCCCCATTTGTGTGTGTGTGTGTGTGTGTGTGTGTGTGTGTGTGATGTTGGATTGCATCTGCATGGTGCAGTAACCTGCTTCTCCTTCCCTCAATCTAATTCTTAGGTGTGGGCATTGCAAGCAGTTTGCTCCGGAATATGAAAAGATTGCTAGTACCTTGAAGAGTAATGATCCTCCCATTGCAGTTGCTAAGATCGACGCCACCTCAGCATCCATGCTGGCTAGCAGGTTTGATGTGAGTGGTTATCCGACCATCAAGATTCTGAAGAAGGGCCAGGCTGTGGACTATGATGGCTCCCGGACTCACGAAGGTGAGCTAGTACTAAGCACTGTGAGGGGAGCAGACACTTGGGTGGTCACAAGGGAGGAAGGGCAAGTGTCCTGGGACTGGCTCCCCCAGGAGCACCAGCCTGCTGGAGTGTTTGGGGTAAGTGAGGTTGGTGGGAGAGGTGTTTTCACATTCCAAACCATGGCAGCCAAGATCTGGAGCAGGAACATTAGAAATGACACCAGAGGCCCCAATCCCAGTGGTGTTTCAGAGCAGTGTCCTTGGTATGTAGCATGCGTCTGGAGGGCTGGCTCAGACAGGTGGCTGGCCCCAGCCTGAGTTTCTGATTTGGTAAGGCTCAAGGTAGGCCAAGTAACTGGCACTTCTTAGGAGTGTCCAGGGAGGGCTTCACAGGCTGTGGTGCAATGCCATGCACAGAGAGTGCAGTTCCAGGAGTCTCCAACAGCATCTGCATTCAGACCTGCTTGCTCACATGAGGCACTACAGAAGTCTTATTAAATGAATAAACAGATAAAAAATGTGGTTTCCTTAGCAGGGGCACACTACTTTTTTTCTTTTTTTGGTAGTACTAGGGATTGAACCCAGAAACATTCTTCCTCTGAGTTACATCCTTAGCCCTTTTCAGCCAAATTGTTGTGATTACGTTTGTGCCACCATACCCAGTGGCATATCTCTCTTGTAATCAGTTTTCTAAAACAGTATGCTGCTGCATTTTCCATTCTGCATGTAGAATGGTGGAGAGAACATTGAAGAAGGTTCAGAGGTTTTTGATTTTTGTGATACAGGGGATGGAACCCAAGGCTTTGCAAATGCTAGACCCTCTAGACCCTCTGTTCTGCTCCTGGGCTACCTCCCCAGCCCTGGCAAGTTTTTTGTCAGGACATAGTCTTGTGACCAGCTGTAGCTGTTGACTACATTTCTGGGGAATGAAGCCACAAACAGCATTTTTTAAAAAGCCTTCTCAGGTGATGCCAGTATACCCTGAGCAGACAGGGGCTATTGCTCCTTTTATATTTTTCTTGATTCTTGCTAACATTTTGGCATGCATGTAATATACTAGTGCTAGATATGTATGATTAAATACATATACAGCCTGTACATGTTTAGGGGATTTCCCAGAATTCTATTAATAAGCATATTTGACCAAAACCAGTTGGTACACAGTCCAGGAGAAAATGAGACCATACATCAAGTAGGTCTCCTGCCTTCTAGAGAAGGCTCGGGTCCGRTTTGTAGCAGTGGAAATGTCCCAGGTGGTTGTTGGGATACAGACCCGATGACTCAACTGCATTCTCAAAACTTTGAAAGTGGCCCTGGCTAGAGATGCCATCAGAGTTCAGGAAGTCACACAATTCCTGCTCCCCTTGCCACTTACTCCTTCTCTACCTGCTTCTGGAAGGAGGTGAAGTAAGAACCTGCAGCTTGGGTCTCCGTGTGCTCAGTCTTTTTCTTTTTGTTCCCCTTATTTCAGAAATTGTTGCCAAGGTCAGAGAAGTCTCCCAACCCAACTGGACACCTCCCCCAGAAGTCACACTTGTGTTGACCAAAGAGAACTTCGATGAAGTTGTGAATGATGCAGACATAATTCTGGTGGAGTTTTATGCCCCATGGTGAGATGGGGGTCTTCAGTTTCGTGCTACTAAGATGCTGATTATTCAACACCCTGCTGGGCTTGGGTGGAGGGTGCAGTGCAGGTGGAGGCCAAGTATTCTGGAAGAGGGGAGTTCATAACGGTGCCACCAGGGGAGTGGGTGTGGAAGGAAACAGGTAATCAAGGAAAGAGATACCAGAAAGAAAGTGGGGGAGAGTTCAGGCAGCAGATCAGTGAGGTTCCCAAAAGCTTGTGTACCAAAGTGGCTGCTGTCATCAGGCTTCATGGGGGTGGGGAAGGGGCATGACCAATTATAAGGATATCCCAGGAGATAGGATGGGGCGACGAAGTGGACAGAGCAAATTGGAAGGAAGACTTTTCAAAGGCGAATGAGTGTTCCTGCAAGAGTGCCATTGGCCTTCTCAGGAGGTGACCTGAGGCACTTGGTGAGTTTGTCATGGGTCAATCAGTGCTTCTGATTCTCGAGCAGTTCTAACAGTTGTCAGGATATGCCCTGTGGATCAGGGTAGAGGCCAATAAATGGCAAATCAGGAAAGTGACTGTCAGGCCAAGAAGAGTGGCCTCAAGTGGCTGTTCTGTGGATGAGTTCCAGGGAGTTGATGGGGAGAGGAAGTGTGTGTGCCTAGAACCAGCAGGCGGAGGCTGTGCCTGGTGCACAGTGAAGGGCCAGGGCTCCCCAAGCTCTAAATTGAGGCTTTCTGGGTTCTGTAGGAAAAGTCACTGCACCTAGTCACGGGATGTGCAAATGAAGTGAGAATACAGAGGAAAACAAATTGGGAAGAAGGGAAGAAATGCCTTGGTTGGTGAGCAGGCAGGCTGTGACCCCCCCCTTAACCCTCCAGTGATGCTGGGAGATGCTGGCCCTTGTCCTGCTACAGAAGCGGCCCTGGCTTGGTGGTTAGGTAGTGGGAAGAGGAAGAGCAACAGGACATTGCACCTATGGGTTGTTTTAGGGATTCTGATTTGCAGCCATTCAGGAGCCAGGTGCAGCAGACCGTTGCCCGTGCTGGGTATATGTGGTGCGGTTTGTTTGGTTTTTGATACCTTGGAAGACATTTATCCTTCTATTTGCAAATAGTTTCCATGTTGCAGGGGCAATCCTTCAGGTTTTTTGGGTGTCCTAAAGGCCAGGGCAAGACGGTGTTTAACTGAGGATTGAGAGCCTGTGACACATGAGGCCCTGGCCACGCAGGTGTTGTCAGGTCATGTGGTATAGACGGGCTGAGTTTCGCACAGCAGCCTGAGTTCCTCTGACTCACGCCTGTCTTCTCCTGCCCTGGTTTGCTTGTGCAAGCGCAGGCTGGTCACACTCTTCATCCTTTCCATGTCTCTGTGATGTCGTTACCTCGTCCCACGTGCACACTCTGGTTCACAGATGCTATGCAGGAAGCTCACATCTTCACCTCCTGGTTTCTCCCAGGGCCCTGGCTCAGTGCCCACACCTAGGAGACATTCTAAGGTTTACTGGATGCACCTGAGTTGCTTGGGTACACTGGATTAGTTTCTGCACCTCATTTAGCTGGGAGATGAGTCCACACTGGGACAGGCCCCTGACAGAACTGGCTTCCCCTTGGCAGGTGTGGACACTGCAAGAAACTTGCCCCTGAGTACGAGAAGGCCGCCAAGGAGCTCAGCAAGCGCTCCCCGCCAATTCCACTGGCAAAAGTTGATGCCACTGCAGAGACGGACCTGGCTAAGAGGTTTGATGTCTCTGGCTACCCTACCTTGAAAATTTTCCGCAAGGGAAGGCCTTTTGAGTACAATGGACCACGAGAGAAATATGGTACGGCCACGTCCTTTCCCCACCCCATGGTGGGGAGAGCCCCATGATAGAGGAGTAGTGTGGGCCACTCCAAAAGCCCCTCCTCAGGTGTGTGCTTTCTCCCCAGGGATTGTTGACTACATGATTGAGCAGTCCGGGCCTCCCTCCAAGGAGGTTCCAACCCTGAAGCAGGTCCAGGAGTTCTTGAAGGATGGGGATGATGTTGTCATCATTGGGGTCTTTCAGGGAGAAAGTGACCCAGCCTACCAGCAATATCAGGATGCTGGTAAGTACTGGCCCACTGTGCTGAACAGCATGCATAAGCCCTTCCAGGAGATCGGGGCTATCAAAATGGGCAAAGTGTGTTTTGTACAAAACTCAAGGGTCATCACAAAGGAGATGGCTGGATGGTTGACTGGGGTAGCATATGTGGGAATGAGCCTTCCACCTGGGGCTGGGGCTGGGTTGGTTGGCCTTCCTTGCACATGGATGGTAGGATCACATACTAAATGGCGGAAACTAGTTGCGCCATCATCCCCCTGGCCTCTGAGCAGAGGGGAGGGCACATCATACTCATCCAAGTGTCTGCCTTCCCTCTTCCTTACCCCTCTGTAGGAGGGAAGGCTCTGACCATAAAGCAAGGGCCTCAGACCTGGGTTCAAGTTACTAACACTGGCCACAGGTCCAAGGCTGTCATCTTTACTACTCCCCCAGAAGTTGTCAGATCAATTGGAAAAATGTAGATGAAGTGCTTTACAGAGTGCCTGGCAATACAAAGTGCGCTCCAGATGGCACCACAGGACAGTCTTGCTGTCCTGAGAAGTGAAGTGATGGTGGACAGCTGTCAGCAGCCATGTTCTATGAGGATGGGGACAGGTGGCATCACCCCATCTTGAAATCCATTCTGCCGAGGCCCGGCTCCTGGTGCCTGGGGACCACATACAGGCCTTCCTCTCCATCCTTACTACTTTCCTGAGGCCTTCTCCCCTCCATATCTCAGGCAGCTTGGTTTTCTACTTCCAAGTGCTTATTATCATCTTTTTTAAATTCACAACTCACCATGGCACAATAACAAGTATGCATACATTGAGTGGATTAATGTTGTAATAAAACTTACAGTAGAACTAAATTTGATTCATGTTTCCTCAGTCTTTATTGGTTAGGTAACCTTGCCATCCATTCTAGACTTGTCAGTTAGGAAGAAACTTGCAGGGGGAACCCCAGCCTCCCCAGGGCTTTTGCTGAGTGCTAATGAACTGCATTCAGGCTGCAGCTCCCCATTTAGGAGGCTAGGGTGAAACCCCCACCAAGAACCCCAGGTGGAAACTCAGTGTAAAGTCCTAGGCATGTGTGATGCTGCACTGCACACAGATGTGACATGCTGTTGGCCTCAGTGCCGCTATGCTGCTCCTTGTCACGGATGGTGGGGTTTAAGCTCGGGTGTTGTCCACACAGAATTTTTTGGTTTAGTCACGTTGTTTTTAGGGTGTTTGCTTTGGCTGGTATGGGTAACGAATTAAACTTCATTCATTTTAGCAGTTTAATAAATTGCATTTTATTGTATTGTTAATTTGTCAGCCAACAACCTGAGAGAAGATTACAAATTTCACCACACTTTCAGCACTGAAATAGCTAAGTTCTTGAAAGTTTCCCCGGGGAAGTTGGTCGTAATGCAGCCTGAGAAATTCCAGTCCAAGTATGAGCCTAGGAGCCACGTGATGGATGTGCAGGTGAGCAGGGGCTCTGCCTGGGCACCCAGCAGGCATGAGCATCTGGGGTTGGAAGTATGGCAGGAGTTTTGCCCTGTTGGCTGCATCTGGAGTGCCTTTCCCAGCCCTCTCTTCCCACCCCACTGTTGGCCTGAAGGCACTGGTGGGAAGCTCAGCCAGGTGGCTCAGGGACCAAGTTTGCAGGAGGGGTGGGGCTGGGGCACCACATACCTGGCAGGTCATAAGACCTAAGGCCCCAGTGAGGCTCCCTCTGCTTTTGCCAAAGCAGTTGTTCTCTCTGTGCCTCCTGGCAGGTAGGCTCTTATCTCCTTTGGTGCCCATGCAATTGTGGGTTTGGTCTGGATGTCCTGGGGCAGAATTGAGCCTCATTTGCTGGGAGGTGGTTTGGGTACCRAGGCTGTAGTGCCCAGTGGGCCCTTCCCCTTCCCTGGGTGGAGCTGGTCAACTTGGCACATGTATTACCTCTTTGCATGCTAATCTAACTAAAAAGTTTTTTACCATGTAGTTCTGGGTGGCTTACCAGCTCAGGGTAAGCCTGGGTCCAGCTCGGCATTCCCCAGGTTTCTGCAGATAGATCTGGTTTGGAGAGGATGGCAGCTCTGAAGCTTTTAATTAGCAGAAACTGGCGAGCAGAGCACGTGCTCCTGCCCAGGGCCCACAGCAGCTGAAGTACAGCGAGATGGAGTGCAGGTGTCCTGGGCTGAGCTGGCCCCGTGCACCTTTCTCATTAGGCTCTAGGCTCTCAGGTCCTAAAGGAGGAGAGAGCGAGGCGAGGTGAGCGAGCATGTAGGGAGCAGCCACAGAAACTGGGGTATGACGGAGCCCAGAGAGGCTGCGACTGACCTGAGTCTGTCTGGTTCCTCGTATTCCCCTATCCTCAGATCCCTTGGTCCCTTTCTTAGACTGCATGCCCACCCCATCCATTTCTCAACCCACATGAAGCTCAGGACCCTCTTCCCTGAACTTGGGACAGCTGCTGTGACTCCTCCCTCCCACTTCTCTTTCATCCAGAGACCTGCTCTAAGGTAGATATAGGTGTCCCATGGAAAGAGGGACCCTTATAGGGGGTTGTGGACCCCAGGAATCGGGCATATAGCCCTGTGTGGTCGTGCATGTTCCCAGGAAAGGGTCTTTAGCGTTTAGTACATTCTTTAAGGGGTTCTTGACCCCAGAAAGCTTCATCAGTGTGATTAGTCTGCTAAGCCTGTCCCTGCTGCTCTGCTCCTGGATCCCCTCCAGAGCACTCCTTTCCTGCTTTTCCAGCACATTTCACCCATCCAGTACATCAGACCAGATCCTCTGGGCACCTCACCCTGTCTCTGCCCTTTCCCACCTGGCAAGGCCCTCCTGTCCTTCAGCACCACTAAGGACCCCTCCCTGGCCACCCCATCCAGGTGGGAATTGTGGGCCCATGGGGTTCACCCACCACTTCCTATCTGTACAACCTTGGGCAAACTGGTTGTGCCTCAGCTTCTCCAGCTATCAAGTAGACATGGCAGTGCCCACCTCTGTTTGTTGTGAGGGTGATATCTATGAAGGGCCCAGTAAAAAGTTAAAGTCCTCACTGAGAACCTCGAGACACCCAGTCTGAGCTGTGTCTTCATTGCAACTGCCACTGTGCCCAGCTAGTCACAGATACCATGTAAATGTCATCAAGACATTCCACCTGGGAAACTTCACAAGCCATCCTTAAAGGCCACAGTGCTGAGTCTTCAAGAGCAGTCATCTGAGCCCATATGTGCTGAGCTGTCTGCAGGCACAATGTCCCAGAGAATAGGGGTAGTCTCAGCCACTGAGCACCTCACCCCCACACAGCTTTGACTCCACATTCTAATCTGAGGTTACATCTTGCCAAATATAAGATGAATCTCATAGGCTCTTGTGAAGATAGTGCAGAACTTTCCATCTTCAGCTCAACTATYAGATCATGTTGGTGGCTGTTGTCATTGGAGAGCCACGCCTTTCTTGAAAAGTTCCTCACTGGGCCTGGCCTTGCCTGAGAAGTGCACTAGTATTGACAAGCAGGCAGTTACTGGGGTATGCTTGAATGGGGACAAACCCAGAGTGTTTGATCCAAGGACCACTGCCCCTCCCCCATGCAGAAGCTCTTTAAGACAAACATCTGTTAGCAGTGACAGTAAAAGATATGCTAGCTAATCCCTTTTTTGTTGGGCCACTCTTACCTGTGGCCTCTTCAAAACAGGGTTCCACCGAGGTGTCAGCCATCCAGGACCATGTGGTGAAGCACGCTTTGCCCTTGGTGGGCCATCGCAAGACCTCCAACGATGCCAAGCGGTACACCAAGCGCCCCCTGGTGGTTGTCTACTACAGCGTGGACTTCAGCTTTGATTACAGAGCTGGTGAGGGACCCGCCAGACCCATCCGGAGCCATAGGGCTCACTCAGAATCCTGCCTTGGCCTAGGCCTTGCAGGTTAATGGTGCACATGTAGTTTTTACTAAGGGCTTCAATGTCTTCAGGGTCACTTTCCTTTTCCCTTCTCTTTCTAACAAGAAGGGAGCATAGTCGATTGGGGCCAGCACCCTCTTGGAGGTGAGGCTACAGTCAGGACTGGGCCACCTTGGCTCCAGACACTGATGTGACATCTGGGCACGGGTCTTCTGGGGCTTGCTGGGCTTGCAGCCCCCGACCACCTGCCCACAGTGGGGCTCTTTCAGGTTTGCCTTTGTCTCCAGTTGAGGTGTATCTGGGGCTTGTGTGTTGTCAGAGTGTTAGTGACAGTCTTAAACGTCACCTCAGGCTCTAAGCTAGATATAGGTGCCCAGCCAGCCAATCAGCTCACAGCTTGGTCCATTTCAGCTACTCAGTTTTGGCGAAACAAAGTCCTGGAAGTGGCTAAGGACTTCCCTGAGTACACCTTTGCCATCGCTGATGAGGAGGACTACGCCACAGAGGTGAAGGACCTGGGGCTCAGCGAGAGTGGGGAGGACGTCAATGTGGCCATCCTGGATGAGAATGGGAAGAAGTTTGCCATGGAGCCAGAGGAGTTTGATTCTGACACCCTGCGAGAGTTTATCACAGCTTTTAAAAAAGGTGAGCTGGGGCTGAGCTCTCCCCCTCAGGTGGAACACAGAACCTGGGCAGCCGTGGGGTGTCTGATGCTGCACATGTGCAGGAGGCCAGGAGAGTCCACGGGCAGCCTCTGCCCACCCCGCTTCCCATTCCCAATCCCGCTCGCTCGCTCCCTGACTTCCTTGTCTGGGGAAGCACCAGCTGTGACCTAAACACCAGGACACCAAGAACACATAGAAGTTTTGGAACATTTGGGAGGGTTTGATTTTGTTTTTGATTTTTTCTTTTGGCAATTTTTTTTTTTTTTTAAACTGGGGATTATACCCAGGGGCTCATACCACTGAGCTATATCCCCAGCCCTTTTTGTTTTGAGACAGGGCCTAGTTGCTGAGGCCAACCTCAAACTTGGGATCCTCCTGCCTCAGGCTTCCAAGCAGCTGGGATAACAAGAGTGTGTCACCATGCCTGGCAACAAGAGAACTTTATTTATTTGGCTGTACTGGCGGTGGAACCCAGGGCCTCATTCAGGCTAGGCAGGTGTTCTACCACTGAGACACATCCCCAGCCCTCTTCCATTGTTTGCTTTAGAAGCAAAAGCAAGATTTGGGAGACCATCTTAGGGCTTACTTAGCATCAGCCTCCAGAAGCTGAAAGTCAGGTTTTGAGCAGGGGTACGCAGAGGCAGCCCGGAAAGATGGATTCAGGTAATGCCTCTGGGGGCTTCAGAGCCTCTTTGTTGTCAGCCACTTGTTCTAATGAGCCTGACCTTGGTTTTCCCTCCTGGATCTGGAGATGAGAGGCTAGAAACATCCGAATTGGGTGGGCCTTGGAAATTTTAAGAAGCCTTTTCTAGAAAATCTTTTTTTTTTTTTTTTTTAAGAGAATTATTTTATTTTTCGGCAGACACAACATCTTTGTTTGTATGTGGTGCTGAGGATCGAACCGGGGCCGCACGCATCCCAGGCGAGCGCGCTACCGCTTGAGCCACATCCCCAGCCCTCTTTTTTTTTTTTTAATATTTATTTTTTAGTTATAGTTGGACACAATATTTTTATTTAATTTATTTATTTATATGTGGTGCTGAGGATCAAACCCAGGGCCTCGAATGTGCTAGGAGAGCGCTCTACCACTGAGCCACAACCCCAGCCCCTCTAGAAACTCTTTAAAATAAGCTTTTGGATTTAGGAATAAGTTTCATGTGTGTGGAAAACCTAATTTGAAGTCTAAATGATGTTCTTGATTGATATGTTGAGTGAGTTGCCCAATCCCAGCCACAGGATGGTGGCTCACCAGGGAACCTGTCCACTTTCTTCATACTGCTCCCTGTGTGGCTTTCAGGTCCTCAGTGCCAGTGCTCTGTAGCTCCTCTGCACTGGGCAGCATCTCTGGTGGCCCATTAGGCCTGGGGTAGGGTGGACATGCACCTTCACYGGCTTGTTCTGGGACTAGGAGAATAAGAGATACGTGTTAACTATAGCAGCGCCCATTGCTGGGGTCAGGTTTGGGGGTTAGGTCCTCCTGTCCCTAGTAGTGTGACTTACCACCAGCAGTATTCACCCTTTCCTGCTCACTGAGCTGCCTGGCTGCTGGGTCCAGGGTCCTTCAGCACTGACGCCTTCTCCCGGGCTTGGCTTTCCTTGGCAGGGAAACTAAAGCCAGTCATCAAATCCCAGCCCGTGCCCAAGAACAACAAGGGGCCTGTCAGGGTGGTTGTTGGGAAGACCTTCGACAGCATCGTGATGGACCCCTCGAAGGACGTGCTCATCGAGTTCTACGCACCCTGGTGTGGGCATTGCAAGCAGCTGGAGCCTGTCTACACTAGCCTGGCCAAGAAGTACAAGAACCAGAAGAACCTGGTCATCGCCAAAATGGACGCCACCTCCAATGACATCGCCAGTGACCGCTACAAGGTGGATGGCTTCCCCACCATCTACTTTGCTCCTGGAAAGGACAAAAAGAACCCAATTAAATTTGAGGGTGGAAACCGAGACCTGGAACATTTAAGCAATTTTATAGACAAACATACCACAAAATGGAGCAGGACCAAGGAAGACCTTTGAAGGCTGGAAGTCTGCAGAGGGTGGGAGGAGCCAGACACTGTAGTGGCCAGTGGCCACCGAGTAAGCCTTGAGGCCAAGGCCATCAATGTAATGGTGGTATCTCAACTTTTTTCTTTTTTTTATTTTTTATTTTTTATACTTTGATATGTCACCTCGTGCTCAGAATACTGAATAGCCATGAATGCAGTAGCTTAGGCCAGATTTCTATGGAGGATACATCTATTTTTATCATTTGGGGTCTGATTTTTTTTTTCTTTTAACATTTTCTCAAAGCAGATAAGTTGAATCTCTGTGAGAGTGTTTTCTTTTTTAATTTAAAGATTCAAAAAAACTGCCAAATCATGTCGAGCTTGCCTTTTATCMTGTTTGAGGAATTGTTAGTTTAAGATGTGACTGTTGGTATGTTTAGTTTTCTTCCTGTGTTGGCACAGAAGTGAGTGCTGTCACCAAGCACTTGCCCAGAACAATGTTCCAGCCTGACCTCCGAGCAGCCTGCAGTCCAGCAAGTGGCACCTCAGACTGTGCGGACATCACCGTCCTACTGTCCCACCTCCTGTCACAGCCTGGGCCACGGTTGGAGGATCATGGCCCCATCCCCAGCTCAGACCCTCTGATGGAGCAGAAGTGTCCCTGGACACMAGACACTTTGAGGTCGTAGAAAAAGTAGGATATAGTCAGGTGGCACACACCTGTGATCCCAGCAACTCAGGAGGCTGAGGCAGTAGGATGGCAAGTTTAAGGCCAGTCTGGGTAACTCCTGAGACTGTGTTTCAAAATAGAAAATTTAAAAGGCCGGGGGCAGAGGTGCTGGGGATATAGTGCAGTGTAAAGCACCTCTGGGTCCAGTTGCCAGGATCAAAAGAGAAATGGAGTTGGGTTGCATAATGGGATTAAAAAGTCACTAAAAATTAACTTGAATAACTCTGTTAGAAAAGACCGTCTCTGTTCTGCAAGCATTAGGGTTGAATGGTTTGATGGAGCCTGCACCTGGTGGATGGGCTGTCCAACTGAGTACATGTTATCTCACCTGACCCTCAAACCCCAAGGGGGCCACCCTGACCTAGGGCAAGAGGGCTCTTTGCTTAAAATAGGTGAGCAGTGGCAGATTGTCATGCTGGGGAGGGGCAGGCAAGGAGGTGGCCCTGCATAGCTGAGTGGGGGCTGGGAAAGGAGAGGGTGCATTCAGGCCTGGGGAGACTCTCCATCTCCCCACTCTCTCCCTCCACTAGAGAGGCACCTCTCTGAGCAGTGACTGGGCTGATGGCAGGTGGAGGGCAGGGGCAGGAGGCAGGTCTCACAGGAAGCTGGGCTTTTTCAAGTTGTCTGTTGCTCAGTTGTTTGGCTGAGGCAGACTGAGCGTGTGGATGGGCGCAGAGACTGTCCAGGTCTCCAGAGCCATGAGCCTGCTGCCCTGCTTTGCTCTGGGCTGGGCCTCCTCAGGGTTGTAGGACTGGCACAGAAGTGAGTGCCCAGAGACCTGTCCTTGGAGGGAAAGTCACTCGGCACTGTCCCAGGGGAGCAGAGTGGCTCCTGCCCTTGCAGGGCCCCCAACTTGTGCCAGCAGGAGGTGGCCTCTGCTCAGAGGTGGCCGGGGGCCTTTCTGACATGGCTTAATCTGAAACTCAGCAATGATTGGCTGGAGCCAGGCAGAAAACAGGGCTAGGTCCTGGACCTCCACTTCAGATGGCTGGTTGGTTTTCAGAAATGCAGCATTTCAGGCCTGCTGGTCCTACTGAACCAGTCTGTGTAGAAGATCCCAGGAGAGTCACATACGCACTATATTCTAGAAACAGGAGTAAATCAGTGTCGTAGGCGTAGGCAGACTCCTCTTCCAGGGCCCAGGGGRCAGGATCTCTAGGATTCTGAGGCTGATCAGATACTGAGGTTAGGTGAGTGGATCTGATAAGCCTGGCTTGCATTGAGGTGGTTTGTTATTTAATTATGAAACTTTCAACATGAATCAGTTGGGTGCCTACTGGATATGAGGGACTGGGCATCTATTGTTTACCAAAGCCTTAATCCCAGCTGGTTGTACTATTGAACTATGTGAATTTAGGCAATTACTTAGCTTTTCTGAGTTTATTTTCCCATCTGTGAAATAAAGCTACAACCTTCACAGAGTATTTGTAAAGCTGAAGTAGATACATGTGCATGGGGCTTAGTGTGGTCCTGGTTATGTGGTACCCATGGGTGGAGCTGGTTCACGGTCACATGGAAGCTGCTGGGTCCCAGACTTGGAGTTCCAGTCAAAGAAGGCACAATTCCTCTTGTAAATGGTCTTATTCTAACCTAGTATGTGCTGAGTTAGTGAAGTGAATCCCTTGCTTGGAGAGCACTGAGGCACAGAACATCAGACCGCAACCTGAAGCCCCACAGAGCCCTGCACTGCCGCGTTTGAAGGCTTCCCCCTGCTGCAGCTGCTCACTGCCGTCTCCTGCCTGCTCTGAGGGGCCAGCCTTGGCCACTGACCTAGCACTGCAGACACAAGGTACACAGAGGTGTATAAAAGGCAGATTCCTGATGCCAGCCCTGGCCTRCTGAGTCAGCCCACAGCCTCGGTTCGGGGCCCACTCCCAGATGCCCCCACATGTGGCCCCTGAAATGCAGGCAAACAGGTCTTGCTACCTTCACCCTGGAGAAATGGAAGAGGGCAGAGAAATTGATTTCCCCCAAACCACTGGTCTGTAAATTGGGAAGTCAGAACCAGAATTCTTTCCCCAGGACAGCATCTCCCTAAATGTGTGGCAGATATTGTGGTGTAAATGTCCTCAGCAAAGCTCAAGTTGAAATTTCATCCTCGTGGCATACTAAGAGAGGGATCTCTAAGAAGTAAGTGATTGGGTCTTATTTCAAAGAGGAACTCTGAATCCGTTTTAAGGGAGTAAGGTAGAGCAGCTGCACTCACATTGTGCTAACTGCACCAGACAGAACTGGGAACAAAGGGGAGAGGCAGGAGGACCCCTTGTGCTGGGCACATGGTCACTGAACACCTTTAAATGGATCACTGCCAAGACTCCAGGTCCTTGGGGAGTCCTCTCCTCCCCACTGGCTGTGCACAAAACAAAATGAGCTTGGCTCCCTGGTTCAGGGTATTCAGGTCTTAGGTTACCAAGAGGCTGGAGTGGGGGAGGAACAGGTCCGAGGAAGTGGCGGCTGGGCCTGGAGAAGGGATCAAGTGGGACTCAAGCTCGCCTCAGAGTTTTCTCATAKGTATAAAAACACTGTGGGCTCCTCTTAGGTGGAAAATGGAGGCCTTTGAATTCTCCCTCTCCCCTCTTGCTGCAGAAGCCTGCTACTTGGAGAGCAGAGATAGTTGAGGCTGCCTCGAGACTTAAGAGACCTTCAAGGCCAGAGTAACAGACAAGGTAACAAGGAAAAACAAAAGGAAGTGCTGGTGACCAGGGGGCACCTGAGGTCCCAGTGCCCCCTAGAGGAGGCAGTGCTGCCTGTGGGAATCTGGGCCTGTGGTCACGTCTGATTATTCAAGAAAAATCAGGCATTTTTATGGATGTCAACCAGATTACAAACACCAGATCAATTCAAATTGCTTTATCAACACTATGTGGCCCAGGGCTGGGGATGTAGCTGTTAGTAGAGTGCTTGTCCCATGGACAAGGCCACGGGTTCAATCCCCAGCACCACCAAAAAAACAAAACACACTATATGGTCCAGAGAGAAGGGATTTAAGGACTGCATTCAGCTGGAAACTTCTGACCTCAGCCAAATCCACACTCCCCCCGCCCCCCGCTTTTGATCACAAGGAACAAACCAAGGAGAGGATGCCCTTAGCAGTTGAGGCCTTCCCTTAGAGAGCTGGAGAGTTCTGTCTGGCTTTGGAATTTGGTGACTGTCAGGTCATTTGATGGCTTCCTGAGGACCTGGGCTGCTTCAATCACATCTGAACACAGGAATGGCTGCCTGGTCAGGCAGAGAGGCTCCGTCTCTTGGTCACCTCAACACCGTGCCCAGTGGACCTGTCCTAGTCAAGCCCTTTCTGTTCCCTAGGCACACCCCACAGAGACCCCTGTGCCTCCTCCTAGGTGGCCATTTTCTTTGTAATTGCCTTTTGTTCACCACAAGACTGAATTAAATAGGAGCTACAGGAGTCTCCTGGGGCAGAGTCAGCTGCCCACACTCCCCTGGATCTCCTGTACCTTCTAAAGCCTTGATGCTTCCAAGTCTCCTTTTAAAGATAGTCCTGGAGGAGAGATGGGCTTGCCCGAAGCACAGAACTTCCAACTCTGACAGCTCCCCCTCATCCTTGTGGGACATGTTCTAACCCCCAGTGGATGCCTGAAACTGGATAGTAATGAGCCCTAGAGTGTACTGTGTTTTTTTCCTACACGTACATGACTATTAATAAAATTTACAAATTACACACACTAAAAGAAACAACTAATGATGAAATAGAACAATTATACAACATACTATAACCTATATGAATGTAGTCTTTCAAAATATAGTATATTTATCCTTCTTGATGACATGAGATGGTATAATGCCTATGTGATGGGGTGAGGTGAAATGGGGGTTACTTGAACCTAGCACTGTGATAACCATGCCAGTCAACAGGGCAACTGAGTGACCAATGGGCAAGTAGTGTATCTGTGGATACACCATGACCTGGGTGAGGCTGGAGTGGGACAGCATGAGATTTTATGCTACTCTAAATAGCATGTAAGTTAAAATTGTTTATTTCTGGAATTTTCCATTTGATATTTTCAGATTYCAGTTGATTAGAGGTGACTGAAACTGCAGATAAGGGAGAAACTACTGAATTCAAAACTGCAAAGAGGGCTGGAGTGTAGCTCAATGGCAGAGCTCTTGCCTAGTATGCAAAAGGCCCTGTGTTCAATCCCCAGCACTGAAAATAAATAACCTACAAAGGGATAGAAATCTTGAGATTCTGAGGCTTTCCCTTTTATTGCTGAATTAGTTTAGGGTATAGACTCTGCTTGACCCCTTGCTACCTCCAGTTCAAGCTCCTGATGCTACCAGCTCATGGCTACCAGGTTCTAAAGGCAGTTTAGAAAAAAGATGCCCAACCAGGGCCAGGCTGGGGACGAGAGTAATACCCCTTAGACCTCTCCAGGGGCCCAGCTGGCACCTGTGGTCCTTCTCTTTGGTCCCATGAGGCTCTGTCTGTGAGGAATGTTTTAAGGAGCAGTGGGCTCCTTAAAAGGGAGGGTGAAATCTGTGGGAGACATCCCGGAAGCCGGGGCCATAGCATGAGGTGACCAGGACAGGCTAACTCCATTCCAAGTCCAGAGAAGCAGAGCAGGGCTGTTTAACAGGTTTTAAGTTCTCCCTTGTGACTTCGCAAGTGGTTGAAATGAAATGGTGGACTGTATCCAGGGAACATCGGAAAGGTACCTTGAGAACGCCATTAGCACACTTGCCAAGGCCACCAGAGTGGCCGGCAGCACCTTGGTGGGGCAGCGGGAAAGGAGTGCCAGGACCCTATGTGTACTGAGGGATTAAAAAGAAGGCTACCAAGCCATGGCCTGAGCTCTTCAGGGAGGGATGGGGTGCGGGCTTCTGTGTCCCTGGGCAGGAGGATCGTGAGTTCAAAGCCAGCCTCAGCAAAAAATTAGGCACTAAGCAACTCAGTGAGACCCTGTCTCTAAATAAAATATAAAATAAGGCTGGGGATGTGGTTCAGTGGTCAGGTGCCCCTGAGTTCAATTCCCCGTACCAAAAAAACCAAAAAAACAAAAACAAAAAACCCCACAACCAAGCAGGTGC